CTAAGCGCAAACGGATTTACTAAGAGTGCGCAAATAATCGCTATTTAGAGCAGTACTGTAGAGTAGCCCCACATTTTGGGAAATCTGAAGCTTGTTGACGAGGCCTTCTTCGTAGTGTGCTTCACATTCAGTGCCATACAGTATGAATCATCAGGTCGTTCCTTGATCATGCCTTGCCTCCACGCTGCTTTGATCATGCACTACATATCCCTTTTATCCAGCACGCCTGCCTGTGATGACCACAGATCCTACATTGTGCCGCACAGTCTGTGAATTTTCTTGCGGGTGGCAATTCTGGTTTATCGATTCCGCGTCTACTGACTGTGTTAATTGTTGATCTAGGCAATCTATTGCTTTGGTTGCTCGAGAATAACTGCCCACGGTTGTTATTGAATAAGCGCATGCCGGTGTTAGGTCTGGCTTGAGTGTAATTGCGATTTGCTTTGCTCTGCAAAGGCAGCAGCGGAGCACGATTATGAACTTATGTAGGTGCACAACTGAAGTTAAGCAACAACCGCTGGCCCTCAGGCAAGGGTTGACGATAGGTCACATCCGGTGGCTGACAATAATAGCAGTCATAGGCTGTAGCGCCAAGCGAAAGGGAACCCAACGGCGAATTGAGTGATGTGTGGTTGAAGACGGGATGAGGAAATATGGACGAGGAACTTTATTTTAACGGAGGCGAGTGCTGAGCACACCGCTCAGCTTCAACTGATATATTACGAATAACAAAAGCCATCGTTCATATGAGCTTCTTCCCGTTCGGGAATTCTGCCAATTATCTCCCTCCTCCCTTGAGTCAACGACGCGCAATTAATAAGCATAAGATAAAGTTGACCTAAGGGGGTTGGAGAGACCATCAACGGTCAGCACAAAGCGATGGCTTGTACTGACTCAGGTTAACAACAAAAATAACATATCGCCACGTGCACCTTATTATAACCTTATTGCAGTATGTACAGTAGGAGCGCCTGTCATAGTGTCCTTCAAATCGATGTCCCTCTTTTACAATATCTCTGTCGTAGTAGTTGTTTCTAGGACACCTTGTAGCAAGTTCTTGTTGGGATGATTCGAATCTGGTGAGCTACCTCTGTTGGCTAGCTGGTTGTCCAAAAATTCACTAAGCGCCTTTTCGATTTCAGCTAGCTCATTTATTGCCGTCTGTAAACCTGAAGCATTAGGCCTCAGTGGATCTCTGCCATGTCGCGGCACGTCAGGGGCAGCCATCCCGTTGATGAGCGCATTAATGGAATCCGTATCCACATTTAAAACCAAGTTCTCTACATATTGGGTTTTCAGAAAGGCCTGCTCAAAATTATTTGGTTCAGCATTTTGGACAAAAAATTTTATTTTTCGGTTTAGTTATGCAATAAGATGACCCATGAGCAAATCCGTATAGCATGAGCAAACCCGCTTGGTCCCACAGTTGCTTGTATTGTTCCTCTAAGGCGTTCAGCATAGGTGCTGACGAGCTTCCCTTCCTTTTTTTGCATTTCATGTTTTGCCTCGCCATGTTACGCATTTTTGGTGGTTCCAAACATTTCCTTGAGCCGAGCTATAGTCTTATTAAAGTCCTTCTCTTCCTCAGTTAGCTCCTCGTATTCTTCTCGTGGCCGCCCACCTGAAAAGAACTTCAGCTTCTTTGCCTTTTGGATCACGGTCTTAGCTGGGCCTTAGCATAATTTCCAAACTTCCTCAACCACGAAGAAAAAGTTACATCTTCTTCCCCGCTTTACTGTGTCAAACGAACGCCACAGCTTACTAATTCTGAGCCTATTACGTAATACTTGTTTCGTCCTCATCCGACTCTTCAATCTCACAAGAATCAAGGTTCGCGTTATCAACTTTGTTTCGCATCCGCAGAAGGTCTGCATTTATTTGATCAATTCTGTCAGTAATCATAAGAAAACCTTGATCAACGCCCTGCTTTACCCTTCATGAGCATCATTCAACTTTTTATTACTTACCTGAGTCGTTCTGACATCTTTTCCCATATTCCGCTCAAAACTAATTATAGCTTCAACCACTGGTATTATCTGGCTCAATGTAATCGTTTCATGTAGATTCTTAGCACCGGGTACATTTCACCAAGGGGTGCGAGGTTTAAGTCCCACATTTTTATCCAGCACTTGCATGGCACCGCATGCTGCCTCTTACCCAAAAATTTCGAACCAGTGTAAATTTTTGATGGGTAAGCACTGGCGACTCTACACTCAAAAATGGTTACCCTTCTTCGTCAAAGGGTGACCATTGGTGGAATTTTTCTTCGAAGAAGAAGGGTAACCACTGGTGGAATTTTCCATTCTGCGGTGCACGAAAACATCAGATTACAGGTAACATGCCCTCACCTGTAACTGGTGGCGGGTCGCATCTACACATCCTAGATGGGCTAGTTACCTGTACAAGATGTTGCTCGTTATCTGTACAAGACGCCTACCCTCTCGCGCTGTAGCGCTTCCGCCCCGCCCCTCAGCTGTCGTTAGGACCAGTTCTGGTCCGCTCTGTTAGCTGCACCCTCCTTCCTCACCCTTTCCTCGACTGTCCCCCATTCCCTCCCCGCCGCACCCGTAGCCTTTCATCCTTACCAGCTGCATCCGCATCTTTTCCCCGTAATTTTATCCCCACTTTCTTTCTGCCTCCCTCGCCCCAGCCTCTATACTGTATAGTAATACAGCTGCTGTTAGTGGATGCTTCATTTAATAGAAAATTAAAAATTCTCCATGAAACAAAGAACAAAGAAGTGTCATTTTTCAAATCATTTTTCAAACAATCAAGCATGCATTTCGCCAACACATAAAAAAGTCATTTAAAGAGCGAAATCAATATCATTTCTTTAACTATAAGTAAGAACAAAAGCACTGTATAGGTTTTATGGTAGTTCCGTTTATTCCTGCTCATTACAGTAACCCAATCCCTATCCTCTCTTAATCTAATTTACCTATCTACAAATTCTTTTCTTCCCCTTTTCTCAGTCAACTTTTTTTAATTCGCCTGTCTGGCGCCTTTTGTACCGTCATCACCGTAAAAGAGGAATACTTCCTCACTTCCGGGCTATATCCTTTAGGCTGCTTAAAGACCCTCGCTTCCTTCACTTTGAGTCCTGGTCTCGTCTACAACCGGGAGTACGTGTCTTCCTACATCCCCATCCTTCAACCCGATTCTTCTCGTCTAGATCCTCGCATCCATCGACTGAACCCGGGAGAGAAGGGGGTGGAGGGGAGCTCATCACTCCCTATCATCTCCGATTAAATCGATTTGCTGAAATCATTACAGATGACAAACGCAGCTCAAACGGTAAACGGACTAAATTAAATCACCATAAGTTTTCCAGCAAAACCGCAACGAACTCCCTCATAATTCGCTCTGGCTCCAATTGCCGCGAAGCCTGCTCGTCTGAATGTCCTGCGACATGCCGCGGAGCAGCTACGTCGGACAATTGACATCGCCCATGCTGCTCGGCACCAAACATGGAATACCCTTGATGCATAGCCACCTGCTCAGCCGTCATCAGTCTGCTTAACATCCTCACACGAGAACGACGAAATTTCCCCATGTTTCCGAAAAAAAGATGGTGAATGAAGACGGAAGTTGCACTGTAAAGCTATGAGCAGTGTCACTACACAACAGGGATGATGGAACCGTTCACATTCATTGGCAAATAACAACCCCCGACTCTCAAAAAAAAAAACCAAGCAACAACCCAACCCTTCCTTTTCCCCTCCCCCTTAGCTGGAGTCAGTCAACCGTCTCTCCCACCCCCTAAACGTCATTAAAAGTCGTCATTAAAAGTCTTCACTGAGGATAACTGCGAGTGCAACCCCCAACTGGTTTGACCCGACTGTTGTGAAAAAACAAAATTTTTCAATCAAACCAAAATTGCCACGCGGGACTTCAATTCTTTTCTTTTCAAATATTTTCTCACAAACAGCCGGGGTACCACCACGTCTGATATTAACAGCGTTGACTAATCGGATCTCCAGAAATCAGAATCCATTTTTTATCCAATTATCAGAATACAAATCCAATCCAATATCATGTGCCAATGAGCGATCATCAAATTTGGGTTATTAAACCCATTTTCAACAACTTTTAACATCTAACGATATCATCGAAAGCGAAGCAAATATATTAATTAAATCGCATTGTTCTTTCTTTTCAAAGATAAGATTAATAAAATAAAAAAAAAGGAACAAAAAAGGAACGGATTAATCCTCATTTCCAAACGGGTAGAGGAGGATGTTATTGAGAAAGAGCTGCCCAGGTTAATCCTGTCGAAAACAAATGCACAACGACTTTGTTCTTGTGGGAGGAGAGGTCACCATACCTCACTCATGCCATGCTGACCTCAGAGTTCAGCCTCACCTCAAAAACCTATTATCAATAACATATTATTTCACAGCAATAACAAAATTGCATCACAATCTTCGCTCTGCGACACCGACCACGACAAAAAACCCCCAAAAAAAACCAGCCAGCAACCTCCTTTCCTTCCTTGAAGTTCATCGGAATCAATAAACCGTTCCTCCCATTCCCTCCCTTTCTCATGTAGCATGCAATTGTTTAACACCCCCTGCTGATCTTTTGAATTACGCTTCTGATTAAATTAACTGCGCTCCAAGTAGAAAGATAAATTTCTTATCTTAATATACCAAACCCAAAAGCACAACATTAACGCAATTCAACGGTACACGTATAAACACCAAAATCAAGAACTCCAACAGATTTCATAGTTGCTGGCACCGGATTTCGCCCGCAGTCTTCTTCTGCCCGCTCAATCCACCTTTCGCAGCCGCAACTTTCTTCCAGTCGCCGCCGCACTTCAGCCTCTCTTCTTTTTTTAATGACCACTTTTCCTACCCCAGGAGTTTAAAAACCTTCTCCCTTCTTGTGATCCCCTTTTACATATTTTTATTTACACACACAGAAGGACAAAATACAACATTCGAGAACAAATTTTATCTATCACTTTTCGTGTTTTG